CGCCTGGTGGCGGCTTTGACGGCAGTGACGGTCGCGGTCAGGAGGACCATGCGGCTAGCGTCGGCCCGCCCGTGGAACCTTCACCTGGTGGTCCCCCCCTGATCAGATCTACGGAGGCAGCTGTCCAGATCCCAATCTACTTCAGGCGCAGTGGTCTCGGTCGGAGGCCTAGAGGTTGACGCCAACACCAATATCGGCGGTGTGCCTCCACCGAGGGTAGATGATCCTGGTTTCGGTGCTGATGGTACTATTTGTGCTACCCAGATGGCCGAAACCTTGACACCAACGCCAAGATCTAGGATCATCTTCCCCGGGAGGAGGCAAACCCCTGTGTTGGTGCTGGTGCCCAGTTTCAGGCCTCCAACTCGGGCGCTCCACGGCCAGCTTTGCTGCGGACTGGCCCACTCTCTGGCCCGCCCTGGGGCGCGCCCTCGACGCCGACGCCTGCCTCGTCGGCTCCCGGTCCTCTCGGCCTGTGCCACGCCGCCACCCGCCCGCCCGGGGGGAGCCCTGCGGGCAGCTGGACAGGTCCCTGGTGCGCCGCCTGATCAGGAGCGAAAGAAGGACGTACACGTACATGAATCCACGTTGTTTTCGAGATTTCGCGTTGCGCGAATACTCGTATCACGCGGCCGGTCTCGCGGGTCAAGGGGCCGTGTTCATGTACATAGCTGGGCGCGCACGTCCTTTGTGGGCTCCCTAGCCTTACTCAGGCGATCGCAAACATGGATCAAGGGGGCGTGGATTAGCGACGGCTCCCGTCTCCATGGGAAGTCGCGGCCTTCCGCCGCCGGAGGCGGCATTGGCCGCGCTTTGGGGAGGGCCCCTCCCCCGACCCATGGATTTGGCGACCGCGCGCCGAATCTATGGATCGCTATAATCCACGTCTGCGCGCCCCCGATGTTTCCCCGGCGCAGCCTCTCTGTTGCCCTCGCCCGCCCACGCTGCTTTGGGTCTCGCCTGCGCTCTGCCCCTGGTGCCCTGCCCTCACCACCCACCAAACCACCCCAACCCAACCCGAAGCCCTCAATTTGCCCTCCATTTCCAGTGGGGGGGGGTCGGGAAACGTTGAAAAAACACATGGTATCCGTACCCCCCCCAACCCGAAATTCGGGTCAAATTCGGGTCTTCGGGTTGGGTTGGGGTGGTCTGGTAGGTAGTCATGCCCTGCCTCCCCAGACATGCGACGTCCTGGTCCTTTCAGGACGGCGTCCCTGCAAGTCCCGACCCCTTCCCCTGGGACCGGTGTTCCGTCCCGAGTCGTTTGTTCACGGTCCCGGGGCCCGGCGAGGGCCCCCCCAGGGCCGGAAAATGGCCCCAAGCTTTCCGTGCTGACATTTTCTTCGCGGCGCGATTAATATCTGGGCCCGTGGTCTGCCCGCGGCTCGCCTGCCTCGGCCGGCCAGCGCATCGCCAGAGACGGCCTCGCCGAGCAGCTCGCCAAGGCCGCGGGCCTTGGCGCGCCGCCTCGCCCCTCGCGCCGTGTGGCCCCCCTCCCCGCCCTGACTACGCACGGCTGGCCGGCCGACCACCGGCGACGTCCTGGCTGTGTTGGTCGCCCGTCGCGCCTCGACGCGCCGCCTCGCTCGGCATCGCGTGACCGATCCCCATCGCCATATCGGCATCCCCATCCCCTTCGAGACCCCCACCAGATTACCAGCCCAGTTGGGGACACACCCCTCGAAGCCGGAAGGGAGCGACCCACATCCCCACCTATAGGGGCGTGTAGATCGGCCAGTGGGGCCCAGGCCACGCCGCTGGGGATGGGGATCGGTGAAACGATGCTCGGGCCGGACGAAAGGAGGGGATTGGGAAAGGGGGGGGTTCGAAATTTGCTGCATACCGCCTCCAGCGCCGGGAGGTGCCGGGAAAATCAGCTAATTACGCGAGCTGATTCTCACCCCCCCCCTTTGCGATCCCCCCCTTTCGCCCGGCCCGAGAGACTCCCTCGCCCTGGCGCACTCCGGTTTTGCCCTGCCCGCCCTGGGTCTTCGGGCAGCCGGACGCCGTCGACGTTCTGGTCTCGTCGGTCGTCCGCCCCGCGGGCGCTCCGCCTCCCCCATGGGGCGGCCCCCGTCGTTGGCGAATTCGCCGCGACAGCGCAGCCACACAACATGTGATCTGCAATCCAGTGTCCATCGATGGCACCGATCTGGCGCTCGAGAACTCCGTCGAGATCGACAACTCGACCTATGCCGCTGTCTCGAAGATGGCATCTACTTCTGGGGTGGTTTGCGTCGCCTGCAGTGGGGGCCCATGCCAAGATTCACCCTGCTTGCCTCCAGGGTGCCCTGGGCTTCTTGGGCTTCGACGGCTTTGCTGTGGAAGGCGCGACGTTCCCACACCAAAAATCCAGGAACGTCCTGGGTCTCAGGGTTGGGTTTCTTGTGCAAGGTTTCTTGTGGACTGGCCTCCCCTGTACGACTTCGCCCCGCACCTCGCGCGTTGCCGCTCTGGGCCCCTGGCTCGCCGCCTCACCGCGGCGCGTCCTCTTGCCTTCCTCACCGCTCGATGCTCCATAGGACGTGTGTTAGCCCAAGCGTGTGCTTACCCCGCTCGGTTCCGCCGATCGCGCGCAGCCCATGTCGGCCCTCGCTGCGCCGACTACGTCGCATCGAAGGGCCTCGGTGGACAAGTACACGCTGGCGCTAACACTCGCTCTGAGGATCATCGAACCGCCTCGCCCACGCGCGGCTCCACAGCCCCGCATGCCTCCGAATGGCCGGCTGATCACCCCCAGAGAGCGCTTTTATACACAATTTCTGTCGCAACAAAAGATGTCGAATCTCATCTTGCTCATCCCCTCCCTCTTCATTATCCTGCTGATCCTAGTCCTAGTCCTCCTCCTCCTCCTCCTCCTCCTCATCCTCCTCTACTTCCTCCTCCCCTCCCCCCTGCGCCTCCCCTTTCCTCTTGCCTTCGTCGTCGTCCTCCTCGTCGCCGCCGTCCCCCGCGTCGAGTCCTCAAGGCGTGGTGATGTGAATGGCCCAGGGACGGGTGAACTCACAGCTGGCCCAAGGAGCACGCGATGCGAAAAATCGAGTGTGGTGCCATTTGTCCGGCGTCGTGAGCGAGTAGATGTGGCTACTGTTAAGTCGGGCGTGCCCCTCAACAGGGGGAATATTCCCAAAAATCGTACGGGGACTAGGGTGTGACCACTTTTGACTAGTTACTTTCCCATATTTGTTTGATATTTGTGTATGTATTGTTTCCTTTATTGATATAGCTATTTATCTATGTGTTTATTTGTCTATGCATTTCTTTTTGTATCTCTATATATATATATAAATAGTATATAAACAGTGTTCCTCCACAACTCCGCCTGTAGGGGGACATGCCCGACCTGAGGCTGCTGGCCCGAACCTGCTCCGAGAGATTGCTGCCGTCGCTGGGGCTGCGCCGGCCGCTCTGCGCCCCGAGGCCCGGCACGGCCGCCGCCGCCCTCGCCGCCGCCGCCGCCCTCGCCGCCTCTCTCCAGACGCCCTGGCCGCCGTTGTCCTCACACAGTGGAGACCCATGCCAAGAAACACCCTCCTCCTCCTCCTCCTCCTCCTCCTCCTCCTCCTCCTCCTCCTCCTCCTCCCTCCTCCTCCTCTCCTCCTCCTCCTCCTCCTCCTCCTCCTCCTCCTCCTCCTCCTCCTCCTCCTCCTCCTCCTCCTCCTCCTCCTCCTCCTCCTCTCCTCCGCCTCCTCCGCCTCCTCCCCCTCATCCTCCTCGCCCTCCTCCTCCTCCTCCTCATCCTGCTGCCCTTCTCTACCCCTCCCAGACACCCACCGACCATACAGTGGAAGCCCATGCCAAGAAACACCCTGCTTGCCCTCAGGGTCCCCTGGGTTTCTTGGGTTTCGATGGGTTCTCCATTGACAGCGTGACGCTCCCACACCAGAAGTCAGAGGGCCTCCTGGGGTCTCAGTGTTGGGTGCCTTGTGGAAGGTTTCTTGTGGACTGGCCTCCACTATAGTTCCTGTGCCCTGCTTTCGTTCGTCGTCGCAACCTCGCGTCCTGTACGAAAATCGGGATGCGCCGTATGTGTTCGTATATTCAGTGTCCCCCGTCACCAGTCGATCCAGGAACTGTCGATCTTCAGGTTCTGTGGCCTGCTACCTCCTTCCTATCACCGGCGCGCCGCCTCGCTGATCACCGACGACGTCCTAGTCGTGCTGATCGCCCGCCGCTCGGGTGCGCTGCTTCACCCCAGTGCGCCCCACTCTCGCCGTGGCAGCCGCGGCGACGCTGCTGCGTCTGCCTTGCTGCCCTTCCCCCGCCCGGCGCTGGGACGACTGAGCGCCCCGCTCGCCCTCTGGCGGTCGCCCGTTTGGCGGCCGCCCCCCCCCCCCCGCCGCTTCGCTGCTCCCCCGGGCCGCCCGTTCGGCGGGCCCGCTGGACCCTCCGCCGTCCCCCCCCCCCTGCCGCCGGCGCCCCCTCGCTGCGGCCGCTGCGCTCCTTGCCCCGCCGGTGTCCGGTGAATGCCCGGCGCGCGCCCGCGGAACCGACGGACGGCTTGCGGCCAGGCCCAGCCTGCGACGACCGACAAGTGTGTGTGTGTGTGTGTGTGTGCGTCGTGCGTGCGTGCGTGCGTGCGTGCGTGCGTGTGCGTGCGTGCGTGTGCGTGCGTGCGTGTGCGTGCGTGTGCGTGCGTGCGTGTGCGTGCGTTCGTGTGCGTGCGTGTGCGTGCGTGCGTGTGTGTGCGTGTGTGTGTGTGTGTGTGTGTGTGGTGTGTGTGTGTGTGTGTGCGTGTGGCTGCGCATGCGTTGTTGTGCAGTGTCGCACCACGTTGTTCTGGCGCATTTGGTATTGGCACCCGCAGGTACCCATGTGTACACGGATGTAGATGATGTCGGCCCGCGCTGCTTTCATTTTGTACCCAGTGGGGCGTCGCGAAACAATTGCTTACGGAAGCACATGCGTCATGATTCCAAAATCCCCTTTTACGCCCAAAGTGTTGCCACCTCTTCCTGATGTGTCTTGGCATACGTTCGCTGCGTGCTTCCATCGCCTAGGTGCGAAAGCCATCCAGATGTTCCAAGACTCCATGCGCCAGCGCGCGGAGGAGACGTCTAGAGTGGAGGGGGCCAGAGAGAGAAAGAGAGAGAGAGAGTCTTGCTCTCATACGGGATGCAACAATATCCCGCGTGGTACGCTTACCATAATAAGTTCGTTTTTCACCGGAATGGTGTTGCTTTTCGAGGCTGTTGTTCGGTTCAATTCGGGGCCCAGCCCGTCTGGTTTGGCTAGGCCAGTTCGGGCCGTGCCCCAGGCAGGCACGGCCCATTCTGAACTGATCGGTTCGGTTGTTTAGGTTCGGCTGCTCTGGTTTGGCCAGTTCGGCCCGTTCGCCCCTGGATCATGCGGGAGGCGCTGGAGGAGGAGCTAGGTTCGATTCCTAGTCGCCGTTCCAAGCTCATGTTTCGAATTTGATTACAGGCGCGCGCGCGAACTTCGAATCTGGGGCAAGGTCACGTTCCACTGTTTCAAAGCGTTGGTTCTTATCCGCCGCAGGGCGCCGCCGCGAGAAACTAAACAGGGGACAACAGAAGGAGGCACATGGAGTATGGAGGGAGCAGGAAAGAGGTAAAAGCGGAGAAGGGGGAGGGGAAGGAATAGGAGGTGGTGGTGATGATGAGGACGATGATGATGGTGGTGATGGTGGTGGTGGCGATGACGGGGTTGTTGCTGTTGTTGTTGCTCATGATGATGATGATGAGTATGACCATGATGATGCTGATGATGGTGATGACCATGCTGCTGATGGTGATGGGTTTGGGCAGTCTTGGTTGTGATACTGATGACGATGTCTTTCGAGCGGTGATGATGGCGATGGCGATGATGGTGATGATGGTGATGATGACGATGATGTTGGTGATGATGATGGTGGTAATGGTGATGGTGATGCTGATCTTGATGTGTGGCAAAGGTGACTGATGCTGACTCGTCTCACATTGGAGGCTGAGGGAGCTTGGTGTGACTGCGCCGCCACCATGGCGGCGACTCGGTCGGTCTCGGGTCCGTTCCGCCTCATCCAGGTGCCCTCAGGCCTACGTGTGGGCCCAGTTTCATTCGGCCGTTGAGGACGGGCTGGCTGCTCATAACACTGAGGCCCATTGCAGTTTGGCTGGCGTAAGGCGAGGGCTCACTACGCGGTGGGAGCGAAAGGCTAACAGCGTAGCTGACGCTCTCGCCTAGCGGGGGTCGGCCAAGCCGCTATCTGTCGAGGAAGCGGCACAGGAGCTCGGTGGACTGACTCTCTTGAAGCTGGAGGTTCTGGCAGTGGGCCGCGTAGCGGGATGTTCTTCAGGAGGAGCGGGGCTGGTTTGACTCTGAAGGCCTGCTCAAGGGCGGGGGGGGGGTGAGAGGCCCTGCTGGGCCTCGGAGTGCGGCCCCACCCAGAGCCACCCTGCCCTGTCCATGCTGTTCCTGTTCGGTGCAGGGCCGTCCTGAGGGCTGTTCTGCAGCCTGAGCTGGCCACCCTCATGCCGTTGTGTGTGTTGATGCCTTGGGAGACTCATCGGTCACCGCCTCACGCTTGGTCTGCTGTAGGCCGTGTGGTGCTCACGCTCAGGCCGGCGTCGGATGCCACAGCAGGAGTGCGGGCTCGGGACTGAGCCAGCAGAAGGAACAGCTCATCTCTCACCCCTTCTCCAGGTGGCCCTCAAGGCAAGGAGGGAAAAACCACCCAGACCCGGCAGTCGGCGTTTACCAAACGGCCCTGGGCGTTTACTGACAGCTCTGCCCTGCTCGATTCCTTCCTTGGGGTCGTTTGCTAAACGACGTCGCGTGCCGGGGTGGTTATTATGGGGGGGGGGCTTGTTTGACCTCTATCAAGGGACCAAGGGTGTTCGATGGGGGTCTTGGAGCATCCCTCCTCCCAGGGCCGGGACTGGAGCAGGTCCATCCTGGGGCGCATGCTGGTCCGCATGGCGCTGCCGACGGCCAGGGCTGCCTTCCCCCGATGCCCGTCCTGGCTCGCGTAGGGTCCAAGTCGGGCGTGTCCCTCTGCAGGAGGAATCTTCAAACATTGTAGTCAAAACACTGTCTGGAGACGATGTCCATGTTTGCTTTTTGAAATAAAAGACATGTTCGATTTCTTGCTCAAGCAAAACAATCGTTCCACCTCCGCTTCCAGGAGGCCGTGCCCGACCGGAGCGCAGGGGAGCCGCGGGCCTCTGCGCCTCAAGTGCGGCCTGAGACCCGCCAGCTTGGCATCGCTCGGACGTGTGCATTTTTCCCTCGGCGAGGACCGTCGAGGAGCATCCTTGATCATTTGGCGAAAACGCCACGCACGAAACCAACAAAAACAACACAGGGAATGGACGTCCGAGCGATGGCGAGCCAGCGTCCTGCACTGGGCGCGGGAGGCGGGGGCGCGCCGCCCCCCGGGGGGGGGGGGGGCAGGACCCGGGCCGAGGACGAGGAGGGCCGGCGGGCGACCCGCTTCGCTCGGCTCGTGTCGCGTCTGCCGTGCGCTGCTCGGCTCGTCCACGCTCCTCCTCCCCCTCCTCCCCTCCCCCCCTCCTCTTTCCCCCCCCCCCCGTCGCTGCCTCCTCCCGCGAGACCGGAGGGGAGGAGGCCCGGGGCCCGCCCCAGAGGAAGCGGGCTGCGAGCGTGAGAACCGCGAGCTGCGGGAGGAGGTGCCGCCCGGGCCCTGGGCTGCCCAGCGGGCGGGGCGGACGGCCGCCCTTCGGCGGCCGGCGCACCTGTGGACACGGAGCTGCTCGGCGGCCGAAGTCGAGCAGTGGCGAAGCGTCCTGGCTAGCCTATACGTAGATCGGAAACTGGAACATATACATTACCAGTGGCGGGCTGTTTCTCAATCCCAGGACTTCCTGAGGGTCGAGGACGACGCTGGGGTGGCGTGGTGTATACGTTGTTCCCGGGTGTCCCGGGGAAGCAACGAAAAATGCATACGCTAGGGTCCTGTATGACCAGGATCCGCTCTCCAGTGCGTCGGTGTATAGAGTTCGGTTCCCTACTAGTTTAGGCCTACCAAGGAGTGTTCTAAGAACCTTTGGTGGTTTACGCGAAATGTTCTTAGACCACTTCTGGCCAGGATTGTCTTGTTTTAGCACGTCGGGCGTATGTCCTCAGAACATTCTTGGAATATTCGTAGGGTTCTAACCCCATTTCCTGGTAGGCCTACAGGAATGCCGGGACGGTCGGCCCCTGCTCAATGAAGCCTTCCCTGACATCACGGGCGCAGTTTTTGTTGGTTGCGGTCACGTCCCGGTTCGCCGCGAGGGCACTGCGGACCTGCGCAGGGGTGGCCCGCTCCCAGACGGCGCTAGCGCGAGTGGTGACGCGAGCGGGGAGGGGGGGGGGAGGGCCAGTCACGGGCGTGATCGCGAGCGCGCATGATCAGGAGGGGAAAAAACACAGACACAATTCATCGTCGACTCCCAGGAAAACATGGGGAAATCTGGGAAGTGGGAGGGAAGACAAAAGCCCAGAAAATATGGCAAAATATGGGGAGTAGTTTTACTTGTGTGTATTTATCTGGGTGTCCCAGGTCCCCTTCGCATGAGAGAGAACGGGCTCGAGAGTTCCCACCCTGCCACGTCGATCGGCGAGTTGCCCCCCAGGTTCTGCAGAGAGGGCTCTGCGGCGCCGCAGCGAATGCGGGCCTGCGCCCGGCCCGCCGGATCTGGCCCTGCAGGGGTCGTGTTCGCCACAGTGAGGCTCGGGGATGGACAGACCTCCTACCCTGACACGTCGATTAAGGAATTCTAGACGCTTCGCGTATCCCCACCAGCCCGTCCAGAAATGAGCCCCAGGGGAGTGGAGGTGATGAGGGAAGCGGGGGAGCATGCAGAAGAACAAAGAGCGGGTTAAGCCGCCATACGCCCCAAGAGGGGGAGGATGTAGGAGGAGTCGTCGTCGTCGGAGTAGGAGGAGGAAGACGAGGAGCAGGAGGAGGAGCAGGAGGAGGAGGGGGAGGAGGAGGAGGAGGAGGAGGAGGAAGATGAGGAGGAGGAGATGGAGGAGGTTGAGGACGAGGAGGACGAGAAGGAGGAGGAGGAGGAGGAGAAGGAGGAGGAGGAGGAGGGGGAGGGGGAGGAGGGAGGAGGGAGAAAAAGAGGAAGAGGAGGAGGAGGACAATGGCGAGCTTGGGGGCCTCTTGGGCCGTCTTTGGGGCCTCTTGGCGGTCCCGGAGGCCTCTTGCGTATCTCGGGGAGCTTCTTGTGGCCTTTTGGGAGTCTCTTGGAGGCCTCTTGGAGGCTTCTTGGGGGCCTCTTGGGGCCTCTTGGGGCATTCTTGGGGCGCTCTTGGGGCGCTCTTGGGAGCCTTCGGGGCGCTCTTGGGGCCATATTGGAGGAGATCTATCAAAGAAGGGGGGGTTGCTTATTAGCGTTGCCCCTCTAGAGTGCCTCGAATCGCTTCTTGGGCCTTCCTAGAGGCCAAAATCCGTCCAAAACCTACGGAAAATCAATGTTTTTGCTTTCTCGCCTTTTCGCTCTTGGAGCCGTCTTGGGCCATCTTGGGAGCATCTTGGGGCCTCTTGGGGGTCTCTTGGGAGCCTCTTGGGGGCATCTTGGGGGCCTCTTGGGGCCTCTTGGGGCCCTCTTGGGGCGCTCTTGGGGCGCTCTTGGGAGCCTTCGGGGCGCTCTTGGGGCCATCTTGGAGGAGATCGATCAAAGAAGGGGGGAGCTCCAATTAGGGTTGCCCCTCTAGAGTGCCTCGAAGCGCCTCTTGGGCCCCCCCAAGAGGCCAAAATCCTTCCAAAACCTAGGTAGAATCAATGTTTTGTGCTTTCTCGCTTTTTCGCTCTTGGAGCCGTCTTGAGCCATCTTGGGCGCCCTGACACCTCGCGAGACGCCTCGTCCAGGTCAGTGGGGAGGGGTAAGGGGAGGGGTAAACCCCTCCCCGAAGGGGAAGAAGGGGGGTTGGCAGAGGAAACTCCCTAGACCACCTACGCCCTAAAGGGCTGGTGGGATTGGCCGTCTTCGGTTCGCGAGAGGGCGTTGCGGCCGTCATTTTTGCGGGTCCAGGTCCGTCGGTTTCGGTCCCAGGTCGCTTTCACTATGGGGGGGTCTACTAAAGGGAGGTTTGTCCACCGCCGAGAGGCGTGTGGGGGGTGTCCACCACACAGCGTCGTGGGTCAAGTATAGCTTTCGGTCTCTGGGAGCCCTTGCTGGACAATGGGACCATCACGAACCGATTCATATGATGAGGAGCTGGGAGCAACCACGACGCTGGATGTCGGGATGTCGGCCGCGCAGCCTGATGGTCCCCGCAACGGATGGCCAGCGGATTACCATCGTGCTCGCCCTCCCAGGTCTATTTCAGAAGGTATCTTTTTTCCAACCCATGCGTTTTCCCCGGTTTCGTCATTCGGGACCGGTACGAAAAGCCATCTCCAGGAAAGCGGTCGAAGCTTTGGGGGGCTGCGGTTTGAAAGACGCATCGGCGGATGTAATGGCTCTGCGGGGTGTTGCCAAAGGTTCTTGGCCAAAAGTGTCCCCAGGAGTTTCGTGGAGGCCCCAACGGAATTGCAAGTGCGCCCCTCGCGAGGCCCAGAGAGTCACGGGGGGCACCGCGTGCAAGGAACATTTCGGGCAGCCCCCGACTTTATTGTTGTCCTTATTCCCGTCCTTCTCCATCCCATTGTCCTTTCTCCTCCAGTCTCAGACCCCTCACTTCCCTCATCTCGTGTCCACCCGAATCCCCCCTCCATCCCTCGCCCCCCCTCAGTGTTTCCTCCCGTCCTCCATCATCCATCCTCTATCCTCCCTCCCTTCTGTTTTTCGTCCTCCTCCTCGTCCTCCTCGTCCTCCTCCTCCCTCCTCCTTTCTCCCTCCCTCACTCCTCCCCTCCTACCCTCCTCCCTCCCACCTCCCTCCTCCCTCCCTCCCTCCCTCTTTCTCTCTCCTCCCTCCTCCTCCTCCTCCTCCTCCTCCTCCTCCTCCTCCACCTCCTCCTCCTCCTCCTCTTCCTCCCTCCTCCCTCTTCTCCTTCTCCTCCTCCTCCTCTCTCCTCTCCTCCTCCTCCCTTTTCCTCCTCCTCCTCCTCCTCCTCCTCCTCCTGTCCTCCTACCGCCCTCCTCCTCCTCCTCCCTCCTCCTCCTCCTCCTCCGCCTCCTCCCCCTTCTCCACCCCCTCCTCCTCCTTCTCCTGCCTCTGTCTGACGTCTCCTCCCTCCCCTCCTTCCTCCTCCTCCGCCCTCCTCCTCCGCCCCCTCCTCCTCTTCACCTCCTCCTTTGCCTCCCCCTCCTTCTCCTCCGCCTTTCCTCCTCCTCCTCCTCCGTCTCCTCCTCCCCTCCACCGCCCTCCTCCTCCTCCTCCTCCTCCTCCTCCTCCTCCTCCTCCTCTTCCTCCTCCTCCTCCTCCTCCTCCTCCTCCATCCTCCGCCCATCCTCCTCCCCTTCTCCTCTCCTCCTTCCTGCCTTCCTCCTCCTTCTCCTCCGCTGTCCTGCGTCTCCTCCTCCTCCTTCCTTCGCTCCTCCTTCTCCTCCTCCTCCGCCCTCCTCCTCCTCCTTCTTCTCCTCCTCCTTTTCCTCCTCCTCCTCCTCCCGCCCTCCTCCTCCTCCTTCTCCTCCTTCTCTCCTCCCCTCCTCACTCCTTCTCCTTCTCCTCCTCCTGCCCCCGTCACCTCCAGTCCTCCTCTGTTTTGCTCTCCTCCGTCCTCCTTCCTCCTCCTCCTCCTCCTTCTCCCCTCCTCTTTTCCTCCTCCTCCTCCGCCCTCCTCCCTCCCTCCCGCCTCCTCCCCTCCTCCTCTTTCTCCTCCTCCTTCTCCTTCTCCTCCTCCTTCCTTACCTCCTCCTACCGCCCATCCTCCTCCTCCTCCTCCTCCTCCTCCTCCTCCTCCTCCTCCTTGCCTCCAGCTGGCGGTCTTGCGCAGTGGGCCGAGATGGTGGCCTCCAGGCGCTGAGGGCACCCGGAGGATGATGAGCTCGGTTTGTGAGCCCCCTCCACCTGGGAGGGACAAATGGTGCCGACGGCGCGCTGCCGACGGGAGTCTCATGGCCTGGTGCTTCAGTAGTATCACGCTGCTGGGTTCCCCATTCAGGCCTTCTGGCTTGAGACTGCTTGCCTCACTTCCGATTCCTGATTATGATTCTCTCTTCCCTCCACCGAGGGATCATTTCGATCCGACTCGATATCGGATATGTTTGGCTCGGTCCGATTCGATTTCTCTATTCCGAAGATCTGATGCGGGCCTGGTGCATATGTGGCCCCGTTGTGTATTACGTGCGCGGCCAGCCCGATTCGCAACTCGATGTCGACCCCGTGTCGACGCAGCCCGGTCGCTGGCACACCTGGCCTCGAGCTAGTTTCCCGATCCGATGTTGGCTGATCCTGCCACCCCCCCTTCGCTCCTTGCCCCTCCTCCTCCTCCCTCCCTCCCCCCCCCCCCCCTCCTCCTCCTCCTCCTCCTCCTCCTCCTCCTCCTCCTCCTCCTCCTCCTCCTCCTCCTCCTCCTCCTCGTCCTCCTCCTCCAGGGGCAACGCTAGGTGGGGATAGGCTCGCAGGGGATGCACCGACCCCCAATCGGCCACTGACCGCCGATGGGGGCCCGACAGGCAGGACTGGTCGGATTCGCTACCGGGAGCCTATCGCCGATCTGCCGTCGACGTATCGCCGACTCAAGCTCGATGTCACTCCGCCCCCCCAC